CACGGTCCAAACATACAACTCCCACGAGGAGAATACTAGCTCCGTGCTACTACATTATCGTGAGACAACTTCCACGAAGACGTAACTCGATCAACTCGATTACCCCAGAGACAACTCCCACGAGGAGATTACTTGATCCGTGCTACTACATTATCGCGAGACAACTCCCACGAGGAGATAACTCGATCAACACTATTACCCCGCGACAAGATAGCTCCCACGAGGAGATAAATCGCTACTACATCGTCGCGGGACAAAACCGACGACTCGATTAATTTATATTGCGGCAACTTTGTCGCGCTATGCGCCAACGCGCATTCACACCCCTCCGACACACGCTCCAACGCGTTTTCGCATACCATTAGGCCATACGCCAATGATCGACTTCTCCAATTTTTACTCTCGACACGATTTGAGACCCATCACAACATGGCCCCCACATCGACTCGAGAGTGTGGGGCTTAATGATATGCCTAATTGGGCCAACCCAATGGGCCCACAATTTCTTTACCTACTGGGCTACGAGTCCAATATCGAAGACTAATATCACCGAGGCCCAAACACCTTCAAGTAAGGCTTGGGCCCAACAAAGCAAACCCAACCCAATAAACGACATATAAATAGAGGTTTTCCTCATTTTATTAAGGTACGTCCTATTAACTGAGCAATACTACAATACGTATTCTCTGGACCATTTCTATGATCAGCACGTCTGACTTGAGCGTCGGAGGGGTTTCCGCCGGATCAACCCCCGGCTTAGCTTATGTGTTCTATGATCGCAGGTACCTCAGGATCATCAAGTTGTCAAGCTACTGATCTGCTTTGCTCTCCCAGTTCGTTTTCTACACCACCCTAGGTGAGCTAGTAATTAGCATCATCACGGTGGTTGGGCCGCTCCTTTTTCACCTTTCCTTCCTCTTTTTCCTGTTGCAAATGATTACCGTCGGAGCTCAGACGCGTCCGCCGCCGACCGACCAGTACCCTTACGCGGCGAGGTTCAGCCCTTCCATGGCGATCATCATAGTCGTCCTGATAGCCGCCCTCTTCTTCATGGGATTCTTCTCAATCTATATCCGCCACTGCTCAGACTCCTCCGGCGCCGGGGGGAGCGTCCGCCGCGCCATCTCCATGCGTGCCCGCAGGACTGCGGCGGCGCGTGGCTTGGACCGCTCTGTCATCGTCACCTTCCCAACTTTCTCCTACTCTGAGGTGAAAGACCACAAGATCGGGAAATCCGACTCTGCCCTTTGATCAAATCAGATTGTCTTCTTCAAAAAAAATCCCCAATTCGTAACCCAGAAAATGAAATTGAAAATGGTAGCCGTTGCCTCCATAGCCAATTCGTTGAAGAATCTAAAGCTTCAAAACACAACTCCACATTTGTTCAGATTCCAGAGCATTCGAACCCTCCTTCTGCAGTCAGCAGCTTCCGAGTCTGTCAAACTGCACCAACTCACCGATTCAATTAAATTTCAAATTTGTTAAAGTTTCAAATTAACTTCAATTGAGTCCCTGGTACTTTCAATTTCACCCTCTTATGATATTTTGAGGTGAAAAGACGAAAAAACCCTTGTACTTTCGCTGTGCATCGCGCGTGCGTTGAAAAATGAGAATATTCGCCGGAATATTCCCCTTAGGTGGTTATGTGCGTCAAAAAACTGAGTTTGGGTGGGCACTTGCAACTTTTTTTAGTTAAGGTGGCAAAGTGCAAAAACGGGCAAAGTCCAGGTGGCGAAATGCTATTAACCCTTTTTTTAAAAGTGAATGTTCCCTTTTAAAATATTATTCTTGTTGCACATCGTCACGATAGCAAAATTCCGATGGATTATTCATCAGAATTGAGTATATTTTGTTGCACGTTGCCCATCTAAATGTTATTTTTATTGCATGTTGCCCCTTAAAAATACTATTTTTTTGCATGTTGCTCCTTCGAAATGTTATTTTTGTTGCACAATGCCTTTCAAAAATTGGCTTATGGGGCATAGTGCAACCAAAATAATATTTCGAAGGGGGAATATCCAATATTTTTTTTATTTTTAGGAGAGAGAGTGCGAAAATGAGAAATTTATAGGGGCGAAATGCATTTTCTCCTTATTTTTATTGGCCGAAAATCTCCTATGATTAATATCTTTTAGCATATAACCCCTAAATAGGGGTACTAATTGCTAAACAAATAATTAAGAGGGTGTTTGGCTAAGCTTATTTTAAACAGCTGATAAGCTCTAACGTCTGATAAGATATTTTAAGAGCCAATAAGCTGTTACGTCTTAATTTTAGGATTAATTTTTAGAGTGTTTGGATAATGAGTTTATTTCCTGTTTTTACTCATTATAAGATCTTAAATAAAAAGGTTGGGTAAATGTACTTATTTAAAAAGATCTTATTTGCTCTCCAACAGCTTATTTTAAAAAAAAAATTAAGATCTCTTTGTAAAATATTACCAAACACTTTGGAAGAGCTTATAAGCTCTAAACATCTTATAAGCTCATTTTAACATCTTTTAAGCTTAGCCAAACACCCTCTAAATCATTAGGGCAATTTTTGCCAATAAAATAAAATAGTGTAGTTTATACTGGGTAGATTTCAACCGTATATCTACACATAATCATACACACCAATACATATTTGTTCTTAGTGAGTTGTTAACTTGTTATTTAATTAGATCTACACTTGAGATCCAGCATTTGTAATATATATATATATATATATATATATATATATATATATATATATATATATATATATATATATATATATTATAACCACTCATGATTCATTAACACACACACCAAAAAAAAAAACATTCTTATTAGATCATGGCAATAATAATTAATTTTACATAATATAAGATTTATCATAAGGTTGAAGAATTTTAGAGCGATGGGGTGGCGACTACAAACAGCGGAAACTTCTTACGGACAGTCAATCCGGCGGCTTCAGCCACGTCCGAATCATTCTTTCTTGCCCCGCCATCGTTATCGGGCAGATCGAAGTTGAATCTGTGCACCAATTTCGCTAACGCAAGCTCATTAACAACCATTGCAAATGTAATACCCGGGCAGCCCCTCCTGCCCGCACCAAACGGGATGTACTCAAAATGCTGACCCTTGAAATCCACGTCCGTGTTCATAAATCTGTCGGGATTGAATTCCTCCGGATTTTCCCACATTGTCGGGTCTCTTGCGATGGACCACGCATTTACAAGAACGTGCGTTCCGGCAGCAACGTCGTACCCCATTACTTTCGTGTCTTTAATCGATTCTCGTGGGGCTAGTAACGGAACGGGTGTGTGTAGCCTTAGGCTCTCTTTTATTACTGCTTTGAGGTAGTGCATTTTGTCCAAGTCGTCCTCTGTTACGAACTCTTTGTTTTCTCCGACCACTTTTCTCACTTCGTTCTGCAGTTTCGACATCGTGTTTGGATATCGTAAAAGCTCGGTCATCGCCCACTCTAGCACGGTATATGTTGTGTCGGTTCCAGCAACAAATATGTCCTGTAATAACAATAAGGGCAAATTGCATGTCACCCCTTATAAATTTCTGATTTTCGCACTTTACTCCCCTCTAAATTTAAAAAAAATTAAGTGTCCCCCTTCAAAATGTTGTTCTTATTGCATATTGCCTCGATAGCAAAATTTTGATGGATTATTTACTGAAATTGAGTATTTTTGCTGAACGGTGCCCCTTTAAATATCATTTTTGTTGAAAATTGGCCCTTAAAAATATTATTTTTTTGCACATTACCCCTTTAAAATGTTATTTTTTTTGCACGATGCCCGCTAAAAATTAGTTTTAGGGGCAAAGTGCGACCAAAACAATATTTCAAAGGGCGTTATCCCTTTTTGAATTTTTCAAGACAAACACCTACTTTTTTTTTTTTTTTTTTTTTTGAGAGTGAGACAAACACCTACTTAATGCATGGAAATTTTATGTTGTTTATCCGAAATCGGAAAAAAATGTGAGGGGCTACTTATTAAATATACACAGGCAATAGAGGATAATTTTTCCTCTAACAATAAAATAGATAAGATCAAATTAGGACCACATAACTAAAGTACATTACGTGTCGTTCTTCGAGCATATAGGATATTTTCCTTAACGATAAAATAATTAAGATCAAATTAGAAAGACCACATAACTAAAGTACATCACGTGTTTCTTTTACCATATTACTTTCTCTCATCTTCAATAGTACTCCAAGAATATTATAGATTTTTTTTGCTAATATGAATAATAAGAAGAGTTTTTTCGGAATTCAATCGATATATCAAAGATGTAATAACGCGATAAACTCGTACTAGTAGACTTACAAGGATTATAGCTTTGACAGCGTCGTCGTCAATGTGGTCTTTGCCGTTTTCTCTTTGAGTTTCGAGCAATATGTCAACAAAATCCGTACTCGTATTCTCTCCTATCTTCGATCGATGCTCCTCCACTACACTCTCCAAGAATCGATCCAACCGTTTCGCCAGTTTGTCAACTTTAGCATATAATCCGCCGGTAATCAGCCAACCCAACCAATTAGGTATATTAATATAATCCGCTACACAAAAAGTTCCCAACAATATCGAACTCTCGTGCGACATCGTCTTAAACTCTCGATCATCATCTTCACCGCCACTATATTTTCTCCCCAACACAACCCTACAAAGTACGTCGTTCATTAGCAAGATGAACATATCGCTCAAGTTTATTACGACACGATTATCGTCGTCGTTATTATTATTATTATTATTACATCCCGGTAATAATAATAATTTCGCGATGTTATCGACCATGAGCGAGGTTTCTTCTTCCCTTACGCGGCGAAAAGAATGAACCCTCTTCGTGCTAAGTAGCTGGAGCACGCATATGCTCTTCATCTTCCTCCAGTACTCTCCGTACCGAGAGAACGCAACGTCTCTCGATTCGTACATTAACTTGTCGGGAATTGTTAGCTTCGGCCTGTTCGAGAAGATAAGGTCCTGGTTCTTCATTATCTCACGCGCTGCTTCGGCTGAGGTGGCAACGAGAACCGGTACGCGGCCGAAGTGGAGGAGCATGAGTGGGCCGTGTTTTTGGGAGAGGGATTGGAGTGATCTGTGGGGGAGTGGGCCTAGTTGGTGGAGGTTTCCGATCACCGGAATCTTTCTTGGTGACGGCGGTAGCCTTTTTCCGGTGTGGTTACGGCGGAGATGTTGCCATTTGTAGAGGAAGATGAGGAACGAAGCTAAGGGGAAAAACAGAATCAAGAAATGTGTAAAGGAAACCATTTTTTTTTTTTTTTTTAATTCTCTTTTTTTGATTTAAGTAGAAAGCATGAAACTAGAGCAATGGATGTGATGTATGTTTGAAAATATATAGATAGGGAGTTATTTAGAAATTGAATATAAAGGAATTTCATCCAACTACTATATTCTTTGACAGGTAGGTAAAATCAAAAAACTGATGACACGTGGAGCTATTAACCGGTCAATGCGAAGTGAGCTTGAATTGACTCAAACTCATATATCATCGGGACCCATTACTATAGGCTCAAATTTATATACTATCGGATCTCATTACTATAGGCTCAAATCTGGGTTGTTTTTTTTTTTTTTTGTTTCGAGTTTATATCGGGCTTATATCGACAATTACGTTTATACTTTACAATTTTGTAGTCGAACGTGTTTGAAAAAAATAAAAAATAAATAAAGCCCTTCACAACCGAAAAGAAAAATTTAGAATATTTATGAAGAGTAAAATAAGATAAAAACTATAGTCGCATAGTACAATGAAAACTATAGTTTGTTCCTTAAAATAAATGAAGTTTAATGTCGTAAATGTTTAATCCTTTAAGTAATTTATATGACCAAAATGCATAGATTCCAAAATGAAGAAACATAAAACAAATAGAAACAAGGTGTACTTCTAACTTTTTTCTAGATGTTGAGCCTAAAACAATAAATATATTATTTATTTAATCATTAAATTAATCGGTCGGCCTTATTCGGTTTGAGCCACAATAGGCACAAACTCGGCCTATTAATGAAACAGGTTTAATAAAATAGCAGCTCGCCTCAAATAAAATCAGACCGGGCAATCGTGTTTCGGTTAGGTTCTGCTCAATTGCCGGTCCTGATGACATGCGTGTACGATTCTAGTAAATATATATGAAATGAACTTTTTTGGCAACAATCCGAATCTAAGCAAGTCCGAGAAGAAATTCCAACCCCAATTTTGACAAGTTGGGAAGAATGAAAGCGAGTAGTGTCGATTGAGTATTAAACTACTCTTCACCCGTGCGTCGCACAAGTTGACATAATTAAATTGGAGAGACGTATAGAGATAATCTGGACCCCAAATTATTGATCATCAATTCATAAGCAATTTGATTTCATGCTATTGCTTTGGTTTCTTTTCCTTTTCTCTTTTTTTTTTCTAAGTTCTTGATTATGGGGTCAAACCAGGGGTGTAAATGAGTTGGACCAGCTCGTGACTCTGGTGAGCCAGCTCGACAAAAGCTCGAATTCGAACTCGAAAATAAATACTCGAAGAGTTTGCGCTCGAGATCAAACTCGCCAAAAGACTCAAGCTTGACTCGTTTACACCCCTAGGCTAGGAATTAAACTGATGGTCTCATATCTAATAAGGCACAAATTAGAAGGTCCAATCCCGATACTATAAGTGAACTTATTATAATTTATATCAATAATGTATAAGTGTAATTTTTTTTTTCTAGAGTGATTCCCTGCATCAGTACACATTTAACTATTTGTATTTTACATACTGGTGAGAAGAAAAAACCAAATATTAGTAATAATAAAAAGGACAAATTGCGGTCATCCCAGGTAAGATCAAATTAAGAAGAAATCATTTTGCTTAGGTAATTACAACCATTTATTAACAAAGCAGTGTCTTACTCATCCATTCTTGCGGTATCAAATTTACCTACCGATTGAAGGATTTTTTTGTCTTACCCAAATAAAATAGATTTTTGGGTAAATTACAACCACCCATGAGGTATGGTCAAATTACAAAAAAACTCTTCATGTTTGGATAATTATATCTATCCCCTCAACTATAAATCTGCTTACATCTCCACCCTTATGATGTCAAATTCAACATAATCATCTAGATTCCGTGGAATGTTCTCTAGTTTGTACTCGTTTTGTGCAAAAATACAGTTTTTGATGCACCACATCTGATATATACAAGCCAAAAAACACATCTTATGATCATCTAACTTCAAAATGTGGAGCTCGAATGCAATAAAACGGGTACAAAATTGAGAATATTTCATATAATCTAAAATATTCCACTACATTTGACACCGCAGGGGTGGACGTGTAAAAAAATTCGTAATTAATATTGGTGATTATAATTACCTAAACAAGAGGGGATTTTTCGTAATTTAACAATGCCTCAGAGGTGGTTGTAATTTACCCTAGATTTTTTTCTGGTAATTTGACCCAGATGAGGAAGATGGTCGTAATTTACCCGAAAAGCAACTTTGAACAACTCAATTTGTGTTTTATCACCACAACTAAAAGTCAAGATGGTTAAGAGTCAAACCACACCCTCAATGGCTATTGGCCACAATGGAGGGACAAAGGATGTAGTATGTTGATGACTTCATCCTAATAAATGTAAAGTTAAGGGGCAGATATATAATTTCAGTAAAATGTGGGGTAGCTGATAAAAAGTAGTAATTACATAGATTGACTGAGCAAATGCGCAGACAAAAAACAGTTGGTTTGGTGACACTGACAAACCAGTACCAATCAGCCGCTTCAGGGACCAATTATACTTTTCGGACTAAAGAATTTTGCTTGAATCTTTTAGAATATAATAAATAAAGAATTATTACCACTCATTGTTTTTCTTTCTTTTTTGATTTTTTCTTTTTGAAATTATGGTAGCTTCAGGTAAATCAAATTTTTAAAAAATTATAACCACATTCTCAACTATAATTTTTAGTATATGTGCACTCTTGTAGTGTCAAATTTAGCAGAATCTTCTAAATTATATGAAATATTCTCTAGTTTGCACCCGTTTTACCCTATTTCGAGTTCCATATTTTACAACAAGATGATCATAAGATGTATCTCTTTGCTTGTAAATATCAGATTGTGATGCATCAGAAACTGCATTTTTTAAAACGTGTACAAACTAAAGAATATTCCACTGAATTAATCTAGAAGATTTTGTTGAATTTGACGTCATAAGGGTGGACGTGTAAGAAGACTCATAGTTGAGGGACAGTTGTAATTACCCAATCATAAGGGGAGTTTTCGTAATTTAAACTTATTTCATGGTTGGTGAAATTTACCTTTTTTAATAATTTAAAAACTACTCAGTGTGGCACATAGTGATTACATCCCATTTAGTGGTGGAATAAAGTCAAATTAAATTAATGCTAATGTTTAGCTTTAAATTAAAAACTAAAATTTTAATACATGTTTGTTTTTCATTAACATCCTTGAAATATTTATTCCATATTTATTAAATATTTTAGTAAAAAGAAATTGACTAACAAAAATTAAATCTTCACAATATATTCTCATAGGTTGTTTACCCCACAAATTTGGAATTATACATTGAAATTAATAAATGGTGTTTTAAATCCATTGAATTGATTCAACTTGAGAAAATCATATTCATTAGTTGAGGTTTAATTTCATTTCCACAACTAATTATAAGGATCAACAGCTAAGATATTATATAAATGCTATATCAATTGCTTTTAATAAAAAAATCCAAATTATTAAAAACAAATCTTTGTTTTATTGTTATTATTATGCTATAGTGTTTGTTCTTCTCGTTACGAGAAAGAGCAACATCGTGTCGAATCGAAAGTATATTTGTTCGAGCTTATTTCAACATGATTTGACTTGATAAGGAATTGAGTAGAGCTGAAACGAGTAACTTAGCTTTTTTACATGTTTTATCATGTTATTTATATAAAGCTCGAGTCGAATTTCATAATTTATCAAACCAAAATATATATTCAAGTCTGGTTTAAGAGTTTATTGCAGTTAGTACCCCTATATTATATCGAATTGCTAAAAAATTATCTTGTGTTATTAATAATGCATAGTTTTTGGCACATTACTCCCTAAAAAGTGAACTTTTAGGGCGCAGTTTGCTAAAATAAGTTGGATCATAGGGGATTTTTTGCTAATAAAATAACACGATGAGGTTTTTAGCAATTAGAGAAAACATAGGGGCGTGGAATGCAATAAATAAACCCCTAGTTTAATATATTAACAAAAGTTCCCCACACCACTTAGGCTCTTTTGGCGCGTGATTAGGTGTCTCTTTTCCACCCGCATTTATCCCAAGGTCCTTATTTTCCTCCTCCATTAGATATCCATACTTCTATCGTCCACCACCTCCAAATCTCCTCCGCCGCCGCCCACCACCCCCACCTCCGGCAAACACACGCTCAAGAAAACACACTCACGCCCCACTTCTCCTTCTTCTTCTTCCTGTCTGCACCTGTTCACTCCTAATCGATCCCCGAGACGCAGGCAAAAAAAAAAAAAAAAAAGTGGTTTAGGCATATACACAAACACCTAGAGGACACAGATAATTTGTTTGGGTTTTTTCTGTTGTCGAGGTTTGAGATGGACTCGGCGGCGCTTACCATGCGAGCTGTCTCTTCGTCTTTTTTCTCGAATCCCGCAAACCCTAAGTCCAGCCATAATCGTAAACCTGCGTCGCCGTCAATTATCAGATGCGTCAATTCGCAAAACCCGCATCTCAATTATCCGTACCATCTAAAACCCATTGCCGGGACGCCACCCTTTTCTTGCTCCGCCGTCACCTCTCACCACCACCCCAATACATCCGGCAGCGACAATCTCACCGCCGCCGCCGCCACCGCCAAAGCGAAGCTGCAGCTTCTCATTCAAGAATTCCAGTCCTTAACCGATCCAGTGGAGCGCGTGAAAAGGCTTCTCCACTACGCGCAACTCCTCCCCCCTTTCGAAGATTCGTCGAAAAGTACAGACACACGCGTCCCAGGTTGCACTGCTCAGGTGTGGCTGCATGTAGAATTGGACAGTGGTAACAAAGTTCGTTTTTTGGCGGACAGCGATTCGGAGATTACGAAAGGGTTCTGCGCGTGCTTGGTTACGGTGCTCGATGGGGCGACACCCGATGAGGTTTTGGCTTTGAGAACCGATGATTTGGTAGCTTTGAATGTGGTGGGGTTGAATGAGAGAAGAGTTGGTTATTCGAGTAATAGGGCTAATACTTGGCACAATGTGCTGATGAGTATGCAGAAAAGAATCAAATCTCTCGTCGCTGAACGAGAAGGGCGCCCACGTGGCGAGATGTTCCCGTCTTTGATTGTGAGCGCCGATGGCATCGAGGCGAAAGGGAGCTACGCTGAAGCTCAGGTGGGAGTTCTAATTAATCTTGTTATGTTGTGTGGTGTGGTTCGATTATCATATTTGGTTGTCAAATTGATAAGTTCAATAAAAAAGAAAACGTTTTTTTTTTTTTAAATCTGATATGATTAATCAACGGGCATTTGTTACTGTCTTGGAGATGTGCTCGGTTGATTTTTGTCGGACTTCTGAATATAGCAATGGCTACTTTGTCGAAACGTGATCTTTGATTAGTATTGGTTGCAAACTGTTGAGGATTTATTCAAATCAGCTTAGAGTGACTGCATTTCATACTAAGAAAGATCCTCTTTTTTTATCGTATCTGTTCGTTCATTTTGTTAGGTGATAACTAGAACTTACGAGACGTGCTTTTTACTATCTTTTCCTCTGCTTCGGATGAAATTTCTTAGAAGCAAGTTGAATAAGATTTATTTACTAGATATTCGCTTTATCACCATAGGTAGAAGTTTGAACTGTTAATTTTCGCAACGAGCAATGTTTCTTGAACTAACCTAGAGTCCCTTCGCTGCATAAAACTAGATTATCTATCGTGTATGTATGTGTGTGTGTGTGTGTGTGTGTGTGTGTGTGTGTGTGTGTGTGTGTGTGTGTGTGTGTTTTGTTCCTATGTGGATATCATGACTGTGTAAAATTGAAAATCCTAAGTTCGAATATAGCGTATTGCAGGCTAGATTTCTGCTGCCGGACGAGGTAAAAATCCAAGAGCTAGTGAATTTGCTAGAGGAGAAAAAGATCGGCGTGGTCGCGCATTTTTACATGGATCCCGAAGTCCAAGGAGTTTTAACCGCTGCACGAAAGCTCTGGCCTCATATACATATATCCGATTCATTAGTCATGGCAGATTCTGCTGTCAAGATGGCTGAATCCGGATGCAAATACATCACTGTTCTCGGTGTAGATTTCATGTCCGAAAACGTTCGTGCTATCCTTGATCAAGCTGGATATCCAGAGGTACTGGATCTTGCTCAATTTTTTTTTTCTCCAAAATTAATCTATATATTTTTCTTCGTCCGCTTAATATTATTTGTTACGCAATTTTGTTTTTTTAACTGTGCATGTTTTTTCAGGTAGGTGTGTACAGGATGTCAGATGAACGCATTGGTTGCTCGTTGGCTGATGCTGCAGCTAGTCCTGCATATATGGATTATCTTGCAGCAGCTTCAGCTTCCGTTTCTTCTCCTTCTTTACATGTTGTGTACATTAATACCTCTCTCGAGACCAAAGCGTATACGCACGAAGTTGTCCCGACAATAACATGCACCTCGTCGAATGTTGTCCAAACCATTCTACAGGTTGGTTATTCTCTTCCTTACTTTATAAACATTTGACAGTTTGCATAACTTTCCTACATCCAATTTCTTTTTTTTTTTTTTATAACTATTTTTAGCTGCATCTTTTTTATAACGCAGGCGTTTTCGGAAGTTCCTAATTTGAATGTATTCTACGGTCCTGACACCTACATGGGAGCAAATATCATGGAGTTGTTCCGACAGATGATTGTGATGAGTGACGAAGAAATAGCCAATGTTCATCCAAAGCACGACAGAAACTCTATCAAATCTTTGATACCTCGTCTTCACTATTTTCAGGTAAAACTATCACTGCGTGACGGAATTATTCTTTGTGATGCACCAAACGAATAAGATTAAATAAAGTGTAAATTACAACCACCCCTGAGGTATGGTCAAATTACGAAAACCCCCCTCTTGTTTGGGTAATTACAACCACCCTCCTCAACTATAAATTGTCTTACACGTCCACCCTTGCGGTTTCAAATTTAGTGGAATCTTCTTGATTATGTGGAATATTATCACTTTTCTACCCGTTTTATCCCATTCAAGCTCCACATTTTGAAGCAATATGATCATAATATGTGTTTTTTGGCTTGTATATATTAGATTGTGGTGCACCATAAACTGAATTTTACACAAAACGAGTACAAATTAGAACACATTCCACGAAATCTAGATGTTGAATTTGACACCATAAGGGTGGAGGTGTAAGAAGATTCATAGTTGAGGGGTAGATGTTATTATCCAAACAAGAGGGGTTTTTAAATAAAACCATGTTTTCTGTTTCTGGCAAATTCCCTCCTATAATACGAGTTAAATAAAATCTGTCGGCAGGATGGAACATGCATTGTTCATCATCTCTTTGGTCACGAAGTTGTCGGTAAACTCAACGAAATGTACTGCGACGCATTTCTAACTGCCCACTTTGAAGTTCCGGGCGAAATGTTCTCCTTAGCAATGGAAGCAAAACGAAGAGGGATGGGAGTAGTGGGGTCCACGCAGAATATATTAGATTTTATCAAAGGGAGAGTAAAAGGGGCATTAGATAGAAACGTCGATGATCATCTTCAGTTTGTTTTAGGAACCGAATCGGGTATGGTGACTTCGATCGTTTCTGAAGTACGGAAGCTGTTGGGCTCTGTTGGGGCCCACGAAGGAGCTAAAGTGAGTGTGGAGATAGTCTTTCCTGTATCTTCAGAGTCGATTACTCAAACAACGAGCGAAACAGGGGATTTTTCGAAATTCTCTGTAATACCTGGAGTTGCAAGCGGAGAGGGTTGCTCTCTTCATGGTGGCTGTGCATCTTGTCCTTACATGAAGGTTAGCTCTAAATCCGATGGTTCATTTTCGTTGTCTGCATTTGTAGTGTCTGAAATTTTTTCTTGGTTAAAATCTTATCGAGTTATGAATGTTTACATGTTTGTTGTGTGTGTTAATGTAACGTCAACAAGAATGAACATTTACATTCTTGTTTGTAGTATCAGAAACATTCTTTTTTATGACGTTTTCTAGAAATACCATCGATGTCGATATGATATTTGAGTTTATTGCATCTAATACCCCTGTATTATATCGAATTGCTAATAAATACCGTGTTATAAATACTAGCAAAAAACCCCGTATGATGCATTTTGTTTAGCACACCACCCCCTGAAATTGTGATTTTTTAGGAGGGTAAGTTGCTAAAAAAAATTGCATCATAGGGGGGTTCTCGCTGGTATTTATAACACGAGTTATTTTAACAATTAGAGTAAACACAAGGGTGCTATATGCAAGAGTGAACAGCATTGGTAATTACGCAATAGCTAAGATTTTTCGTAAATGGATAAATAAATCAAAATATGCCTAGCTGCCTCTACTATTCTTCGCACAAAGTTTCAATCGAAATGAAAAACTTCAAAAATAAGTTTCTAATGTAAGTTTGATCTTTTAATTTTTTATTTAGATGAATTCTCTTGGATCGTTACTCAAAGTTTGCCGAAGTTTGCCCCACGACAAAGAAAATCTTTCGGCGTACGAAGCCGGCCGATTCAGTCTGCAAACTCCGAGCGGGAAACTAATTGCAGATGTGGGCTGTGAGCCGATTCTACACATGAGACATTTTCAGGTTTCTTTATTTAAAATTCACTTTCTATTGTTGAAAACATATTTCGGTTTATTTGTTAAATAAAAATCTCGGACATGATTGATATTGGTGCTTATGTGACAGGCTACAAAGAGATTGCCAGAGAAGCTTATCCAGCAGATCCTCCACAGTGGCAGTATCAATGGAAGATAAAGCTATGCTTAAAAATTGATCCAAGTGAAAAAACGGAGATTGATGCTTTGTTCAATTAAAGTATATTTAGCTGCTAATTATTTTTTATATTAAAACTATCGAAGGTGCCCGTATGAGAGCCGATGTGGCGAGTTTTTCGTCACAAAGTGATCCTTCCAATGATTTTTTTTTCTTTTTTTTTTTGAAAGCCCGCGATATAGACGCATAGGTTGTTAGATTTAAGGAATGAATATGTTGCTTATTTATGTCTTGTAATGGAACAGTTTTGCTATAGATTTGTTACGGATTTTTCGATATAGGGAATGTTTTTTTGATTGGGAGCTGTAAAAGAGCAGTTCCATAACTCTGCTAAATTTATCGATTTTTTTTTCTTTTTCTATGATAAATTTATTTAGTTGATAAACCTGGAAATTATTTGGTAGATGTGTTTTCATTTTGGAGCATGTTTTTATCTGTTAGCCTGAGTTTGGCAGTAATTGTCACTGTGGGGAGGCCGAGTGTAGGCAATCAACAATCAAATGCTATGAACTGTGTGTGTTGAGTGCGCTATACGGCTGGAGTTTATGTATTTCCTGACACCAATATATTTTACGACAATTGGTAGCGTTTGAGTTCCTACATTATAAAAACCTATTGTTTGTTTGGAATCATGAAATTGCTATATATTATTAACGGTAAATTACACTTACACTCTTGAAGTATGCTAAAATAACTTTAAGGTCCCTCTAGTATTGATAATTACAATCATCACTGAAATATTGTTAAGAACCCGAATAGAATAATGCATTGGATAAGTTATTTCGTTAAGGCTCTAACAGACTATTAGTTTCAAGTAGTGGTGGGGACAACATAGAGCTAGGGGGTGACATGGTTCTCCTAATATTTCTTAAATCCTTACTATTTTATACAAGACTTATAAATTTTCCTCTATAGTAGCAATGTAACGGCCCCACGGGAAAAAATATAGTGCATATCGTTCCCAAAGACATGAAATCTTAGCTACGGTAAACTGTTTCAAGGATGTGGATGTAATTACCAATACTACAAGGACCTTGAAATTATATGCTTAGATTTTGGGAAATCATGAGGAAAATTTCAATTTCCCTATTAAAAAGAAAGAAATATGAATTCTAAACGAGGATATTACAGTTTTCACCTCTCAAGTTTGCACCAATTTCACATTTGGTCCTCCATGTTCATAAAAAACACATTCGGTCCCTCATGTTTCAATATTTTAACACTTTTAGTCTTTTTCGTCAATCTACCGTTACTCTGTCAGTTAAGGCAGTGATGGGAACCCGCTTGATTCCGTTAGTTTTAACGGGAAATTGACGAAAATGACTAAAAGTGTTGAATTTTTGAAACACGAGGAGTCAAATGTGTTTTTTGTGAACATGAGGGACCAAATGTGTAATTTATGCAAATTTGAGGGACCAAAACTGTATTTTTCCCAATTATAAACATAACAAAACGTTATACACGTGGCCAACGTCGGTGGCAACAAACAACAACGTTATAATTCTCGGACAATTACCAGCCGGTCGTCTTTCTTTCTTCCTCTCCTCCGCATATTCTCGAACACAATACGCACATCAAAAAAGCTCCACAAAGGTAATCAATTTCTCCTGTGATAAATCTCGCGCATTACGATTGTAAACCCTCTTTTGCTACTTATCGATTTATCTTGCTGTGTTCGAATTCATCTGTGAATGGTAATTTTTAAATTTCTCGTTTTACATTTTGGGGGTCTTTGGGCAATTTCGAAAAAAAAAATATCTGAAGGTAAAATTCAACTGAAGAATTTTAGGTTAAGCTGTTGGGCTGTGACTGAAGATTTACATATAGATATCTGGTTTAAATTTGTTCTATGCTGCACGAATTTCGATTTCAAGAACTGATTTTTATTTTCTGTAATAACTGAAAGCAAACTATATATAGTGTGATGCTGGCAGGTATTTGTTTAAGGATTAATTCCTCTGATATGTCTTAATGATAAATGATTGAAAGCCGGTTGCGTTAATTTTACTGTCGAACGATTTCGAATTCGTTTAGCATTTTGTCGAAAATATATGTTTTAATCAGAATCAAACACCAATGTTAATATCTAAATTTTGTTTTTTCTAGGATTTAAATCTTTCTACTTCTCGATGCCTTACGGAAACGGGATTATAACCGCACAAGCGAAGCAGCCTCTCGTTTCTTTTGGTGTAATATCAGACGTCCAGTACGCCGACATTCCAGACGGGCGCTCGTTCCTCGGTACGCCTCGCTACTATCGGAACAGCCTCCTCGTACTGCAAAAAGCCGTGCAGAAATGGAACGAGAGGAAGCTGAATTTCGTAATTAATTTCGGCGACATCATCGACGGGTTCTGCCCGAAACCCCACTCCCTAAACGCGATCAAGAAAATCGTGAACGAATTCGACGCTTTCGACGGCCCCGTATACCACATGATCGGAAACCACTGTCTCTATAATCTCCCCCGCGAAAATCTACTCCCGATATTGAACATTCCTAGTCGAGATGGTAAAGCCTATTACGAATTTTCTCCAACACCCGAATTCCGATTTGTGGTTCTTGATGGGTACGACGTGAGTGCTATAGGCTGGCCCGCGAATCATCCGAACACGATAAAAGCCCTTGATTTTTTGAACGAGAAAAACCCGAATTCGGACAAGAATAGCCCGAACGGGCTAGTGGGGCCCGATAGAAGGTTTCTTATGTTCAATGGGGGAGTAGGGAAAGAGCAAATCGAGTGGTTGGATTTCGTTTTAGAGGACGCAACGAGATCGAATCAGAAAGTCGTGGTGTGCTGTCATCTGCCGTTGGATCCTTGCGCATCTTCGAATGAGGCTCTATTGTGGAATTACGACGAAGTGATGGAAGTGGTGCATAGGTACGGTTGCGTGAAGGTTTGTATCGGTGGGCACGCGCATAAAGGCGGGTACGCGGTGGATTCTTACGGTGTGCACCACCGTGTTCTTGAGGCGGCTTTGGAGTGTCCACCTGGCACTAATGCGTTTGGATGTGTCGATCTTTTTAGTGATGGTTTGTTTCTCACAGGTAAAGATAGGCTCGCGAGTCAAGAAATGGTTTTTTAGTTTCGTTGAGGTAATAAATAATTCGTCCAAAAAATAAAATTACGTAAAAAAAATTATATAGTTGCGAAAAAAAATTGGTGTTTTTATTTACGAGTACAAGTTCTTGCGTAGCTTATTTGTGTGCTTCGTAAATGATTCTTGAAATTGCTAGTTGCAGACGGCCGTAACAATAATCTGCATTGTGTACCGTTTACTTGCATTTAATTTTCTATTCATCGTTCTCTATACTTAGTGACGTTTCGGCTTTCGATCGTAGTAAATTAAATTAAATTAAATCAAAATTAAAATTAGGTGGTGAAGCTTGATTGATCCTGCATTTGTCATCGCTGCATTATTGATGAACAAATGTGTATAGTTATTTTTTATTTATTTTTATTAATAATATTTATTTATTTTCTTGGAGAGTTTACCTTCAAATTTGCCATCTTCACATAATCTCATGTTGATGTGTTTCTTTATCTACAAGTTGACTTTTTCTTTAATTATTTTTATTTATTTTTTAATATGAAAAAAGAAAAAATATCTTGTGGGGTAACTTGCATATTCTCTTGCCATTTATTAATGAAGATGTGCAGTTTAATTAAGTAAGGAGCATGATTGCATAAATTAAGGGATGTGATAAGATTATTTATTTATTTATTGTGATTTTATTTGTAGTCAATAGTTGGTAGAGAGTGCCTTCACATTATCAATATTTTCATTACCATTGACTTTAAGAAAGTGCCCTGCACCTTCTTTAACATCAGTTTAATACTAGAAATTATAGGTTATTTCGATGTTACACTCGGTAAAGATTATACTCGGTCAATTTTTACGATCGATCTACACACATCAATGTGGATGTGTGTGTGTTTGTGTGTATATGAATAGTAAAGACATATCCGGTGTATTCACATGTGTATCATGGAATAGACCGAAATTATGATAATAGTTTCCTACTATTAGGTTAGATCGATTAAATAGGATTAATTAGTAAGATTTTTGATTGACAGGATTGAACATTAGTCAAGCAAGCTATTAAAGTTGAAGCTCGCAATTAAGTGTTACTGCGTCGTGAAATTAGTAGCACACCATTCTCCCTGCGATTAATTTTGTATGGGATGACTTAAATGGATAATTACAATTTTATCCTAAAAATAATAATTTAATTGTGTTAAATACAAGATTTTATAGACATTACATATACTAACATAATCTAACAAATTTAATGGGTACGTTACGGCCACCCTTTGAGATAAGGTCAAATTACTCCTCATGTTTGGGTAATTACAACCAACCATTCAACTATGAATCTTTCTATATGTCCACTATTGCGGTGTCGAATTTAGTTGAATCTTCAAGATTATATGGAATATACATTCTCACGTTTGTACCCGTTTAATCTCACTCGAGCTCCACATTTTAAAGCAAGATGATCATGAGATGTATTTTTTGATTTGTATATATCAGATTGTGGTGCATCAGAAACTGCATTTTTGCACAAAACGAGTACAAACTAGAGAATATTCCACGAAATCTAGAAGATTCTGTTGAATTTGACACCATGTGGATGGACGTGTAAGAAGATTCATAGTGGAAATGGGGTAGTTGTAATTACCTAAACATGAGGGTTGTTTTCGTAATTTGACCATACCTCAAAAGGATTGTAGTTTACCCCAAATTTAATACAACATATAATTTAAAGAACCAAACATGTATTTAACTAATTAATTAGTTAACTAGTAGCTAGGGAATTAATCCAATCTAATGCGATATAGGTAAAGCAAATGAGGTTTAAATTTATGTGGATTCATCCGACGCTTTTTATCAGGTGTAGCATGTACTTCGATGATTTTGCATTGATGGACAGGCATGATTAATAACCTAACCCCCGGTTCATACTATGCTACACCAGATAGATATTTACCATTCACAAGCACACAAACACACACACATCCACATGGGTATGTATAGATTAACAATAAAAATCCACCTGATGTAACCTTCACCGGAAGTAGCATATAAAAAATATACGTAGTTTTGTTAAATTCCATGAAAAAATAAAGTAGAAAGTAAGAAGGGAATTAATTAGCCTATGATGAAATAAATAAACGAGAAATTTATTTAACTTTCTTGAATTAATTATTAACCCAAAAACTCTCGACCAACCTTATAATTAATTATACATCGTATATAAGGCGTTTTTTTCATATCCCTTACAAAAGCACCAAATACCAACAAATCCTTTCAGACAATTGATACAATCAAATTTCAAACACAATTATAAAACATAAAAAAAAAATGTAAAGAAAAACACGCTTTTACTTGTACACACAACAGAAACGAGATAAAAGCGTTGAAATAAAAATAAAACCACGAGATAGAAAAAACCCTCATCGATCACTTAGCTTCAGCAATCCTGGTCTTCCTCCTCTCGAGGAAGAAGAATCCGAACAGAGAAACAACCGAGAAAGCTGAGAAGCAGATCGACGCTATGTCGAGTGACACGTGTCGGCCGGTGACGGCTTCGATGTCGAAAAGGTTCGTCTTCTTGTCAACGCTCGTTGTCTGTCCGTACGCCAGTTCCACGTCAGCAGCGTCGTGTGCGTATGCCCTGACGAAGTACTTGGCGGTGGGGACGTCCCTCTGCACCGTCCAGGTGGCGGTGGCGACTGCGCCGCCGGCGATGTAGGGTTTGGCGACGATCTTATGGGAGCAGGTTTTGTCCTTTGTGAGGTCGTCCTTTGTCTTCCTCCAGCCGCGGTCAACTTGGCTCACCGGCGCGTAGCATAGCTTCACCTTTATTGTCTTGTATGAAGCGTCGGCGCCAGCTGGCGCGCTCGGGTCCAGCGCCCACGTCACCGTGATGTTGTCCAACCCAGCTTTCAGAACTGCAATTCATTCAATTAGGTTATAAGAGAGAGAGAGAGAGAGAGAGAGAGAGAGAGAGAGAGAGAGAGAGAGAGAGAGAGAGAGAGAGAGAGAGAGAGAGAGAGAGAGAGAGAGAGAGAGAGAGAGAGAGAGAGAGAGAGAGAGATCGAGAGAGAGAGAGAGAGAGAGAGAGAGAGAGAGAGAGAGAGAGAGAGAGAGAGAGAGAGAGAGAGAGAGAGAGAGAGAGAGAGAGATCGAGAGAGAGAGAGAGAGATAGAGAATCTTGAATTTGATTTTTACCTCCTTCTTTGTGTGTGGCGGTGACGGCAAGAGTTGTCTGAAGAGTTTTGAAGGAAACGCCGCCGTAGCAAGTGGCCACCAAGCAAGAAACAAACACCGAAGCCAGAAGGAAACGGTACTGAATCGCCATTTGAAGAACAGTTACGTACTCTCAGAACAATCTAGGAGAGGAAGAGTTGGAGAAGATGAGGAATATTCCTATTGTTGATTGTCTGATATTTGAAAATGAATCATTTTCGCTTGTTTATATAGAGCATTAATGAACACGAAGCACTAATTAATTAATTAGTTCATTCGGTGGACTACGGAAAAAACCCCTGAACTTATACTAAATTACCAAAATACCCCCATATATCCGTAATTACTAAAATTCTCCCAACGTTTGTTTTCGTCTTACAACGACCCCCTTACGATGCGATTTTTCAAGGAATATTTTTTATTCCAGATAATATTTCTCGAAAAATGTCAATTGCGTACCCCCCTACAGACGTGCGTGGCATTTTTTTTCAAAGCAAAAACTACCATCATGAGGCCTCTACACGGAATCTTTACTTCTTCTGAAATAACATTTTCGCAACTTTTTAGTTGAGGGTAATCTTTGTCTTTAAAATGCAGCATAAAGAAACGCCAAGTCTGTAGGGGTAGAATTGATATTTTCTAGGAAATATGAACTGGAATAAAAAAGATTCAGGTGAAAAAAATACACCGTAAGGGGGTCGATATAAGACAGAAACAAACGTTGGAGAATTTTAATAATTACGAATAGATGAGGGTGTTGTTCGTAGTTTAACGTAAGTTCAGAGGGTTTTCGTAATTTACCCTAATTAGTTTAATTCTACAACGTAAGCGAAAAAGTCAAATACACACAACTTGCAAATAAAAACAAAAATAAATAGATTACTTAATATTGTAAGAGTGGCCCAAAAGTATGTCCAGAGGAGGGGGCAATTAATATTTAAGCCATTAGTTTCGGAGTTGACTTAAATTAATAACATGATTCTTGTATAGTTGGAATTGAAGAGGAACTTTTCCAGATATATTCAAGAATCATAAATTTAGTATCTTTTATTCTAATTTCAAATTGATATTGTCTGACTTTTTTTGTGTGTTTGTGTAATAGTTGTGTGGCCGGATTCTAATTAATTATTTTACAATAGAAATTAATGTAGATAGAAGTTTTGAAAACTCATTCACTCTTGCCATTTGCCAAGGGTTGGTAATTAAATTTTGAAACTAAGATTGAGGGGTATTATCTATATAATTTTATTGGAATGGGAAAAAAAAAATACTATTGGTTGAAAATTCGGTAATATATTATGTACGTACCGAATTACCGAAATTTTAGAAACCAAAAATCGATTATAGACCGAACTCCTAATGTGATATGCAAATTAACTGACTATGAGGGTGTTTGGATAAACTTATAAGTTATTAATAAGAGTTTATAAGCTATTTCAAATTGTTTGATAATTTTTTTTAAAAAGAATTTTAAAATTTAAAAAATAAGCTATTGAAAAGCAAATAATATAATAAGTACGGCCTCTACCATACATTTTTATTTATAATCTTATAATAAGTAAAAATAGGTTATAAACTCATTATCTAAACACTTTAAAAATTAACTCTAAAAATAAGACGTGGCAACTTATCAACTGATCTTAAAACAACTTATTATACGTAAGAGTTTATCAGTTATTTAAAATAAGATTAGCCAAACAGGCCGTATGTCTTCAAAGTTAACGTTTAGAACTTGTTGTGCTTGTTCAAAAATAATAATGGAGTACGTAAAATACGTGCCAATAACTCAAATAATGAGTACGGAAATAGATATAATCTTGGTGAAAGAAACTTAAACATATAAAGAAAAATGTTTAATTCACTTTTGCACATCTGAAATATAATGTTTAATTTGGGTACTTTGCACCCGCAAAAATAATTAATAGTACCTCGAAAGATAAGAAATTATTCACATTGCATCCCAATATTGGATATTCTAGAGATTAATGAGAGTAATTTCATCTTTTAATAAAATTATTCTCGAGGTGCAAAATACCAATTGAAACTTTTTATTTTACTATACTCTTTAACCCCAATTTCAAAAATAAAAAGTTCGAAAATAATATATTCACATGTGTATATATATTATAAAAATAAAAATAAAAACTATATTTTAATTTGTTGCGCAAAAGAAAATTCTCCTAAATTATTGGTTTCGTTTGGTAGGTCTCTGATAAAAATATTTGATGGAATTTTTTTACATCGATAAATTATAATTTTTAAATAATTTAGTAATAAAAGGTTGAATGGTGGAGGAAAATAAAAGACTTACATTGAAACTTTCCTTCACCAAATTACATAAAATTATATTTTCATGCAAAAAAGAAATATAACTGCTTTTTCTTTCAATTCCAATAAAATAAATATATACATATCCAAAAAACATTTTAAAGATTCTTATGAAAATTTTCTTGTAAAATGTTTGATTAGATATTTAATTTATTTCCTTTTACACTTTGTACATAATTTAGGCTGAAAGGTTAAAAAAAAAAAGAAAAAAAAATTGATTTAAAATCTTGCACACTAAAAAGTAAAATTATTAACACAAAAATGTCTCATTAACTTTCACAAACTCAAACTATGGAGCATTATGAACGATTTATTGTTTTATAGGGTGCAAAATATGATAATTGTGTTATTTTAGGGTGCAAAGTGTAAACATGCTACATTTCTAGGGTGCAAAGTAGGATTAAGTCAAAGAAAAAGGAAATGAGTTGGCTATAATGTTAGGGCAAGAGACACATGAGAAAAAACATCTCGATTTAGAGTTGAAAAATTCCAAATTATTATAGTTTTCTTGACAAGATGTCTATTTGCGCCAATTTATTTGGGATCCGATTTTAATAATTGGTGAAGTACTAATTTAATTAATTAATTTAAGTAAATTATAATCACCCTTGAGTTATGGTTAAATTATGAAAAACCCCCTCTTTTTTGGGGTAATTACAATAACCCCTCAACTATAAAACTTCTTACACGTCCACCCTTGCGGTTTCAAATTTAGTGCAATCTTCGAGATTATATGGAATATTATCACTTTTGTACCCGTTTTATCCTATTCGAATTCCACATTTTGAAGCAAGATGATCATAATATGTGTTTTTTGGCTTGTATATATTAGATTGTGGTGCATCAGAAACTGTATTTTTACACAAAACGAGTTCAAACTAGAGCACATTCCGCGAAATCTCGATGATTATGTTGAATTTGACACCATAAGGGTGAATGTGTAAGAAAAAATCATAGTTGAGAGGGGTAGATGTAATTATCCAAACAAGAGGGGTTTTTTCATATATTAACATACCTCAGAGGGTGGTTGTAATTTACCCTATATCTCCACATTTATTTCTAGCGATGGCCGCTGACGAGGCACCATCGTCTCTAAATCAAACACCGCCTCTGATCCATCGCCGCCGATGCACCACCATCTAAACATAAAAAACCTCCACCATCGTCGGTGCACTATTATTGTCTGGAGTCTGGACATCAAATAACACTTTCACTTCAGAAATTGAAACAACCCTCCTCTCATAAATCGACAAGTATTTCCTCCTCAATGGCCCAGACCAACGGATTGCGTCGCAGAGGTTCTCCCATCCGTCCGATATATACACTCCGATTTTTCTTCATTTGATTATATTATTGTAATGTGACAATTTACATAATAGGCTATAAGTCAATTGATAAGTCAACTATATTTATTTTGTAGTGAATTTATTGTTTTGAGGTCTAATATATGCAGTAATACTTTAATCAACTGTAGTCAATTAATAATTCAACATAGTTGATTTACATCCAATATTCAATCCAGAATTTCGCGAAAAAAAACATAAAAAGACGGTTATCACTAATTATTTTCAAAAAGTAAACTATCTCAATGCAATTTCAAAACGGGGAATTTTCACTTACTATCCGAGAAACAACAAATATAATTAATTGGGACTCGTGTTACCGTGTTAGTCTAAACTCTTACACGTACGTTCACATGCGTACACAATACATTTCATCAATAAATAAAGTAAAGAACAGTTTCAACTTCCAACACAAAAGGATGAATTAATTAATTTCATACAAATCAATATCCGCAGAGCCAAAATTTTCTATATCACCATGATTTAAAAATATAAATCCTCGACAATATATATGTTCAAGATTTACCACCATGTAAAAAAAATATATATATACTTACAAAGTAAATTATAAATTACATACCAAAAAAACAAAATTCAATTGATTCTCTCGAGTTTTTATTTTGTCGGAAACTCGATCGATCGATCATCGATAAAATTGAAATTTAAACACAATTAACATCAAAATGTATAGAAAACACGCTTTTGCTTGTACACACAACATAAATAAAAATAAAACACGACATAGAAAAAACCCTCATCACTTAGCTTCTGCAATCCTGGTCTTCCTCCTCTCGAGGAAGAAGAATCCGAACAGAGAAACAACCGAGAAAGCTGAGAAGCAGATCGACGCAATGTCGAGCGACACGTGTCGTCCTGTGACGGCCTCGATGTCGAAAAGGTTCGTCTTCTTGTCGGCGCTTGTTGTCTGTCCGTACGTCAGTTCCACGTCAGCAGCGTCGTGTGCGTAGGCCCTGACGAAGTACTTGGCGGTGGGGACGTCCCTCAGCACCGTCCAGGTGGCGGTGGCGACTGCGCCGCCGGCGATGTAGGGTTTGGCGACGATCTTGTGGGAGCAGGTTTTGTCCTTTGTGAGGTCGTCCTTTGTCTTCCTCCAGCCGCGGTCAACTTGGCTCACCGGCGCGTAGCATAGCTTCACCTTTATTGTCTTGTATGAAGCGTCGCTGCCAGCTGGCGCGCTCGGGTCCAGCGCCCACGTCACCGTGACGTTGTCCAACCCAGCTTTCAGAACTGCATGCAATTTCAATTAGGTTATAAGAGAGAGAGAGAGAGAGAGAGAGAGAGAGAGAGAGAGAGAGAGAGAGAGAGAGAGAGAGAGAGAGAGAGAGAGAGAGAGAGAGAGAGAGAGAGAGAGAGAGAGAGAGAGAGAGAGAGAGAGAGAGAGAATATTTAATTAATTATTACCTCCTTCTTTATGGGTGGCGGTGACGGTGAGAGTTGGCTGAAGAGATTTGAAGGAAACGCCGCCGTAGCAAGTGGCCACCAAGCAAGAAACAAACACCGAAGCCAGAAGGAAACGGTACTGAATCGCCATTTTTTGATATGATCGGTAATTAATTAATTAGCGTTTCTGGTGGATTAATCAATAATTAATCTGCAGGGGAAAGCTAATTAAGTTGGATTACTATTAATTGATTTACCCGAGGCTGATGATGGAGATTAAGATACGGTGTCGTCCGTTTATATAGAGGATGAAAGAACAACGAGGCTTGCATTACATACGTACAGATACATACAACTTGCCAAATTAAAAAAAATAAAAAATCCCATCTGTAAATTTTTTATTTTTTTTTATTAAATGGGGGAGGTGGCTCAAAAGCATGTCCGAAGGAGGGGGCAATAAATTGTTTTAGCAATTAGTTTGGGAGTTGACTTTTTTTTTTTTTTTATAATTCAATTTTGGGGGTTGACTTTGATAATAATAATAATAATAACATTTGTTCTTGGAATAGTTGGGATTGAACAAGAACTTTTCCAGTATATTCAAGAATCACAACAATATATAGTATCTTTTATTATATATGTTCAAATTGATACTGTCTGACTTTTATTGTTTGTGTAGTAGTTGTGTGGCCAAATTATATTCTAATTATTTGATAATACAGTTAAACATTTATAAATTTATGCATAATTTTATTAATTTAACGAAATATTTAATTATTAAATTATTAATTTTAGCATGATGTAACTGAGTCGGCATCTGCATAAATTATTATTTAAATAAGGTTGTTAATTTATCGAGATCCTACTGTGTATAAAAAAAAAAAAAAAAAAAAAAAAAGTGAATAGAAACAAGAAAACTCATTCACTCTTGCCAAGGATCAATGGTATTTTGAAACTAAAATTGCTGCATTAATTATCTATGTTTCATGTATTATTCTTTAAATGAAGAAGAAAAAAAAAACACTATTGGTCGAAAGTGTGTTTTTACTGCTAACATAAAATCATTTTATGGTGGAGAAAAAAATATTTTAGAATCAAAAAAATGAGTTATTGTATGTTTGTACATAGTGAATACATTTAATTTTTCTTTTTACTGTCGTAAGCGATTTATGAGATTCTACACTTGGTGAAATACACCATAGGTTCTACGAAACCAAACCATCGTGGACTATATTTGAAAACATGTAATTCGATCTCTTTTTTTTTTTGTCTTAATTTAATCTAATGAACCAAATATCATAATAATTAAATAATCTGTAGTGAACTAATGTGATCTCGTATAACCAATATAATCTAATCCGATATAGGTAGAGGCCTACGTATTCGTTGAATACGTGGTAATAATTTTATTTCAAAGAATGACTACGAAAAAATATATATATGATCTTTGTGAAAAGAAATTGAAACATATAAAAGAAAAGGACAATAATGAAAAAAGAAAATGACTTAAATTGTGTACCCTAAAATTGCAATAATGAAGAAAAAAATGTCTAGGTTAACTTTAACAAACTCAAAACGGGTTGCAATATGAATAATGTGTTGATTTTCACATGTAGAAAATGCTATTAATTTTATTCTATGATGTAAATTGCTAAAATGTTATATTGAGAATGCAAAGTAAAACTAAAGCAAAATAAAAAATTTAAATTACGGACACCTATTCGAAGTAAGACTAACTAACTTACAAATCACTATAAATGTAGATTTATATGCCTATAGAAATCAATTAACCTAAGTTGTAACTGTTAAGTTGTGGGAACAGTATTTAGTTACAACTATAATTCTTGTGTTAACACAGTTATAAGCTACTGAAAGCAGAATAAATGAACACAATAAATTAATGTGGTTCAGACACAAATGTGCCCTACATCCACGTGGACTTGCAACACGATTTCACTAGTTCAGATTTACAGTGTACATTAATAGGACTTATTAAAAATAAGGGCAAATTACGGCCACCCCCTGAGCTATGGTGAAATTACGAAAACCCCCAGCCACCCCCCTCAACTATGTATTTATCTTACGAAAAGACCCCTCAAGAGGTAAATTTAGGGATGTTAATTCGGTAAAACCGAAACAAAATTTTGGTACGCCAACATTTCATACCATTTACCGAACTAAATATACGATTTGGTTCGGTAAATAACCGAATTACATAAATTTTACGTAAAAATATTTAAAAGGAGGGGGGTGGTTGTAATTACCCAAACAAGAGGGGTTTTTTCGTAATTTGACCATACCTCAGGGGGTGGCCGTAATTTGCCCTAAAAATAATAAAGACCCCCTCTTTAATTTTTACGCCGTTCTTGTACACAACTCGAACTTCGTGTCTCTCTACAACAGCTCCACTCCGCGTGCGTTGAACCTTCTTCAAGCCTGAACTCCCTTCAGAAACGCGGATGACATCTCCTGAGATCTATACATCAACTCTGTATATGTAGCCTGAACTCCCTTCAGAAACGCGGATGACCTGTCCCGAGATCTATACATCAACTCTGTATATGTAGCCTGAACTCCCTTCAGAAACGTGGATGACCTCTCCCGAGATCTATACATCAACTCTGTATATGTTGGCACACGCAACGATGGCACACTCCTGCTCCGCAAACTGCCCTAGCACAACTTCAATACGATAAGAGGTTTTTCTCCAATAAAAGTGTTGATCTTCAATGACTTGTGAGGCTTTATATAGGCACGAATTTTGCCTCCCAAGCCCTTGCTTGATCTCCAAGAAATCGTATAACTAGGTAAGTAGAATCCTAGCCGATTTCTAACTCTATTCTAGATAAGTACAAAGAGACCTAACTAAAATAAGATACTGGAAATAAATCAAAGTCCTAATAGGAATATTACAAATATAGGACTCTAAATAATTCCCAAAATAAACATGGAAATAAATATTTGCCCATCTTTTAATTCCAAAAACTCGGCGGATTTCCTCGATTTTCAATAGTCGAAAATCTGGCGCCAACAGTAAATTGATATTACAAATAACTCCCTAGCTAGGCTATTTATTTGTCTCACAATTACACACTTACAGAATTAAGAGTTATGACTACGAGTAACCAAATCTTGAAAAGCACATAGAATATTTGTTTTGAATTTCCAAATATATCTCCATTCTTACTTCAGTCGATATCAGTAATGTTATTCACATGGTTCATTTATTTTACAAAAAGTAATTTATACAATTCATTCATAACGTTATTATTTATAAGGAGCTACTAGTTTTACGGCGTACCAAAATCCACTGAAACTTGTAAGTTATTTAATCCTATCTCAGGGTATCCGTAATTAAATAAAAAAAAAAAAAAAAAAAAGCACGTGAGAAGACACATCTCGATTGGAGTTGAAGAATTCAAAAATCAAAATTATTATAGTTTTTTATTCACTAGATATCTATTTTTGCCCTTTCATTTTGGATCGATTTTTTAATAATTATGTGTAAGTACTTATGTTTATTATTGGGTGTTAGAATCCGAGAGGATTCTATTTCGGTTTTTCAACACGTGTGCGAAAAACGTGTATAAAAACTAGGGAAGTTTCCTTAGTTCTTTAAACTCTTATTTTGTCATTAATTTATTTAATTGCCTAAGTGTTTTATTAACAAGGAATTTAATTGACTAAGACTTTCCTTGTTTTACATAACTCCTTGTTCCTTACGTGAAGAGTATTTCTAACCTAATGGGCTCTAATTTTTGTAGGGCTCTACTAATTCACCAAATGAAGTATAAGAAGGGCAGCATCAACGTTTTTATACGTTGTCCCTTTTATTTGAGAGAAAAACTTTTTCTGCTCTTACGTTGCTGCTCCTAAGTTGTGATCTTATTCGAGAAGAAAAACACAGCAAAAGATTTGCTTCTTTCACGCGAAAAGAAGATCGGTTCTTCGGGAGGAGAACTCAGAAGATCTCGGGAGGAGGTCGATCCGCCGACTGAGGGACTCAGCGTTGAAGGAATTTCAACCGTGCGGAAAGGGACGTGCTGCAAAGTGAAGATTCACAATTCAACGTAGGATACAAGAACGGCGTCGACAAAGAGGGAGTCTTTGCATTTTCGATTAAGTCCTATTACTGTATTCGTAAAACTAAAAATTAGTGAATTTCATTTGCAGGTCCCCGTGGATGTAGGGTACAATTGTATTCGAACCACTTTAAAATTTGTGTCTTTTTATTACTGTTCCATTAACTGTTGCAACTCTTCGTAAAACAGTAGAACAGTAGCTAAAACTGAATCTGGAATTTATCGGACACAAATTTATAATTAATTTGCACAAAATAATTCTAACAATTGGTATCAGAGCCTGTCACTAAATATATCTAGTGAGATTTTGGGAACTGATTACTCTTATTTTGTGCAGATATGAATACTCAACGAGAAGGATCTTCAACTACTCGTCCACCTCTTCTAATCGGCTCCAACTACTCATACTGGAAATCAAAAATGAAGATGTTTATCAAATCCCTAGATGAGAGAGCATGGCGCGCCATCATAACTGGTTGGACACCTCCCATGATCAAAGGAGAAGACAAAGAGGAAGTATTCAAACCAGAAGCAGATTGGAGTGATGGAGAAATACTACTCGCAAACTACAACTCGAGGGCCCTAAACGCAATATTTAGTGGTGTTGATGATAATCAATTTAAACTAATAGCGTCATGTGAATCTGCAAAGAGAGCTTGGGAAATTCTTCAAGTCACATACGAAGGAACGTCAACTGTAAGGACATCCAAGTTACAGATGTTGGCCACCAAATTCGAAAATTTGAAGATGGAGGAGAATGAGACGATCACTGACTTCCATGCTAAATTATGTGATATCTCCAATGAATCATACGCACTCGGTGAACCATACTCAGAAAGCAAATTAGTGAGAAAAGCGATGCGCTCATTACCTGAAAGATTCGCTTACCGAATTGCTGCCATTGAAGAAGTCAGAGACGTTGACACGCTCAAACTAGACGAACTCATGGGGAAACTTCTAGCACAAGAACTCAATCATGGTGAAAATCATCGTGAAAAGTCTAGAGAAAAGAAGATAGCCTTTCAAGCAGAAACATCATATGCAACGCCCCAAAATTCGTCAACTCAAG